GGATATTAGAAGTAGTTCTGTGATATCTGCTTTCGCGGGCCATTCTTTCACACAGTTGGTGATGGCACACCTCTGCAAAACTTTTGAATGCATACTTGACCTGATGACATGGTGGGTATTTTCCACACATTTTGTTTTCCTCCCGCAAGTCATGGACTCGTTCAAGAAATTATAACACGATAATGCAAGGCCCTCCTGAAAATAAGACCATGCGATATTGTTCATCGCATGTCAATCAAACCGAAAATGTTTTAGGTGTCGGCTGAAATTTAGCCAATTTGGGTGAAAATCCACATGTTGTAAAATGTGGGTTTTTGTAGAGTCATTGAGGTCTGGTCTGAGACTATCAACTTGCTACACTTTAGAACCCGGTTCAAACCCGAGCGACTAAAATACAGATTCAAACCTAGGATCCTCAGTGCTACTTTTCATTGCTCCAACAGTCATTACGTAGCTGTAAACTTGGATTCAAACCCAGGGTCTCGGCTTGCTGGTTCATTCCCTCCGTACAGCCATTATGAGTTGTAAACCTGGATCTGAACCCAGGGTCTTAATGGTGCCGGCTCAGCTGTCTTGACCCATTGAGCCACCCAACGACCTCGCTTTTTAAATCCTTTATATTAAGTTCGCTCGCTTGCTTGCTTGCGTGCTTGCGTGCTTTGCTTTCCTTGCTTACGACCGTGCAAATTTTTCGGTCGTTTTTTAACCCACTTCCCGTGATCCAATCGAGCTGACATTTTGCACACAGACTCGTTGTGCGAGACAATTAATGTTCGTGAAAAAAAAATTCGAAAAATTTACACTGTTTAGGGAAAACAAATTAAATATTTAATTACCAATTGCTTAATACTGGCAGACAATCATCTGACCCATAGGTGGCAGCCATCTCAAGCCAGAGGACGAGAGGACTCTAGCTGCCACGCATATAAAGGATTTAGAGTGAAAAACTTTGTTTTACGGTTATACTTGGTTGAGGTGTGCCGTACGGTGCTGTTGCTCCCTTCCCATCACCACTGGTACTGTCGGAGGCTTGCAGATAGACGCACAGGCCCCATATCAGCATCGCACTGTTAAGACTAAAAGCGTTTGCCCACTCTGCGGTGAGCGAGCGCCAACCTATTCATCCCAGCGTCCATCGCTTCATCCCTGCATGCACCGCTTTTCATCTCCTATCCACACGATACACAGAGTGGTCGATGCACATTTTTTTGGACCCTGCAGTCGGCAAATCTTGGCCAAATTTTTTCCTGAGTCCCCATCAAGCATGGCCACTTTTCCCCTTCCCTAGATCGCCAAGCGGTGGCTCTTCAAATTTTGCGTTTATAATTGGACCCCAGTGAAAGTGTGACGGTGACAACGTTTAAGATTAAAGATTTAAGTCTACCCCTTTGCAAAGGCTGCACGTAAAAAAAAACAATTCTATAGTTACGCCTCACCAAATCACCCTCCATGCTCCCGATCCCATCACCTCTCAGAACCAAACAGAGGAGCCTCGTAGTACTTTAATGGGTGACACCAGGGCTTTTGACAGCTGTTGGAGGTATGTGGCTGCGAGGTGTGCGCTAGCAGCGGGTCGGCAGTACCGAGTGTCAACCACCCTTGTCTAATGCGTGGTGGGTTTTCTCCTGGCTTCTTTGGTTTTCTCCGCCACAAAGCCAAACACTCGTTCATGCCATCGCTCAAACATCCCATTCTAATGGAACGCTTTCTGGATAAACATTTGTCATTAAGCAGTGAACTTTCATCGACTTTCTCTCCGCATTCCAAGGCTACCCCGGCAAAGTATATTGCCGAGTGAGGTTTCCACAAAAGCGCTCGTGTTGTTGTTGTGCGGACTTCAACGCTTCGTAAATCGGCCAACTCTGTAATATTTAATTTCCCTCTCGTTTGTGCCCCAGTACTTCCATAGGCAAAAGTCACCGTTTTCACGGATCCGATAGTTGTGACCGTGAGCATTGTCTTGCTGTTTTTTCTGAAAACCCAGGCCTCTTTTCACCACTTCACACAACTCCTGATATTTATTTTCATGTCAGAATCAGAATATTTATTCTGGAGGAATCTGTTGAGCGACAAGGCTCTTTCACAGATGTCCAGTTGGGGCGGGTAAGAACGTTACATGTGTCCTTAATTTTTTTTTATTAGTTGTCCCAAGGAGTTATACCAGTTATACACATACTCGAGATTGAGTATAAGACGCACTTATTTTTGTCTGCACTTGAAAGCAAGAATTGGTTTGGGAGGTGTTCTTAAAATCCAGTAGGTGCGTGTGTGAGACCAGATTTGTGTAACGTTATTGACACTGGCCAGAAGTTGGGGTAGCGTGCGTCTTACCTCCCCGAGTGTCTTTTCAGGAGAATATGGCGATAAACACGGCAGCAGGCCGGAGTACTTGTGTAAAACTGGCCTTCGTAATGAAAAAGCAACATCGCATTACAATATACTACCTGCAATGACGTGGATCGGAAACATCGACAAAGACAACGAGAAATATAACAAAAAGATGGAAATTGCACAGAGGCCTGGACAGGTGTACGCTTGTAATTAAATTTAGAGACATAAAAGGGAGGACATGTATTACACAGCATACACAGGTTATCGACATCCTCCACACTCCTCTTCTTGGTTCTTTCGGTAAAGTCACGTAGAAGGGAAATAATAAAATAATAAAAATAAAACAATCAAATAATTCTCACGACGTTTCGGCCACAACGCAAGCAGCCGTCCTTAGGTGAAGAACAGCGTCATTCAGACGCTGTCTTTCCGACAGACCTGTTCTTCACCTGAGGACGGCTGCTTGCGTTGTGGCCGAAACGTCGTGAGAATTATTTTATTATGTTTTATTTTTATTATTTTATTATTTCCCTTCTACGTGACTTTACCAAAAGAACCAAGAAGATGAATCCTTGCAGTCACGAAAGCTTTAAATCGAAATCCTCCACACTGTTAAGAAATGTAGATGGGCTTCGTCAAGATGCCTCGCTAGAAGAGACAATGGCCAGCGGTCCCGACTAAGGAGATGGAATTGCAGGCAAAGGAGGGAAAAGGCCGAGAGAAAATCGCGCTGCGGGAGATGGGGCATTGAAATTGGCTCGTGTGCAGCAGCAGCAAAATGTATCGGTGGCATCGCAGGCCCGGCAGACGTCGGTGGCTTTGAGAGGCCTTCATCTAGCAGCGGAGATGTCGTGGCTAATGCTCACGATGACGATGAGGTTGGGAGAGCGTGCGATGATTTGGAGGCGAGAGGAACAGGCGTTTGTTTATATTTTGACGGACACGGTAGGAATAATGGATTATTATTAATGAGGCCCTATATTCTTCTTCGATGAAAATATCTCTGGGTCTCAAGATTTTTTTTCAGGAGGTTCCGGCATTGGAACAATGATTGATCAATTCCATTCATCAGTGTTTGGCTTGCACTAGCATATGCCGATAATTAACATGTTTTTGTCTCGTAAACAACAAGTTAAACAAAAGATGATTTCTCTTGGAGGGACACGGACAAAAAAAAATAACTATGTGCAGTGTGCATAGACGGCTTTGAAGACGGCTCAAGGTTGAAATGGTGATGTAAATTGTCGAATGAGAAATTGTGCAGTGCTTTTGAAAAATGTAATTCAGAAATCAAAATCAACGCAACCCTTGTACCTGAATAGGAACGTTTTCAGTCGGTGCAAATTGTGTGAGCGTGGATATTGCCCGGGGGTAGTGGCACACGCCCATAGGCCAGCACTGTTGAGACTAGGTTTGGTGGATCGTACAAATGCTGAGAAACTCCATTCCCCGTGTTGTGTGTCGTTGTGCCGTACACGAGATCGCCATGAGAAGGCGATAACAACAAAGTGTAGACTCGTATCATCCGTCCCTCCTGTGTGGGTCTAGAGTGTTGCCCTCCTCCTCCCCTTTGCACGCGTGGGTTTTCTCCAGGTGCCCCGGTTTCTTCCCACGTGTATAAACAATCATTTATTGGCTGAAAACATCTTAGAATAAACAGCGCTCCTGCGATTGGGCAATTAAATTGTTGGCACTGGCTCACCTGCCTGCCTGCCTTCCAGCTTGTCTGTGGTTTCTCAGCGATTGTGAGATGAAAATGTCTCAACCTATACGCTCGTGTTTTAAAACCAAACATTATTTAACGTTACAATTACGTAACGAAGCGTGGAAAGATGCGCATTTGATATTAGCAGCATCGAAAGAAAAATGTGGATTTGAGAAGAAATAGTTTTAGAAATGTCATATTCTGTTAAGAAAGTTGAGTAGGCTTGGGCAGGGCACATCACTAGAACACAATTGTAGCCAAAAAATATGGAACACTCCCGAGAGGACGACCACCGTGGAGATGGAGCGATATCAGCCCTCTGGCATTAGCACCGTGAGCCGTCATCCATTCGTGGATTGATCAGGGCCCGATGGCGGATTGAACGGCGCAACCCTCCCCCGCCCGCCTTGTTAGAAAACGGCCCTGCGGAAACGGCTGTCGCAGAACGACTTGGGAGGCTTCTTCAAGGGTCCTCTGGTCCACGCGTTAACGGTGGATTGACGCGAGAGCCGTTCGTGGAATCTGCTACACGGAACACGAGGTTGCGCGCGATCTTTTACGTCGGGGCCCGTCGAGAGTTTTCACGCGAAATAGATTCATGCCAGTGTTGGAATGGTCATGAAGTTGACCATTGCGATATGCCGCCGTCACGTGCACAGTGCGACGATTGTGAAATCCTTCCATAAAGTTTTCCAAGGTCCCTCCCTCCCCTCCCCTGTACTTTCTAAATATGTAGCAGCAGCAGCAACAACAACAACAATACACTTCATTGAGTGCCGTAGACGCTGAAATGAGCCGTTGGACAGCACTGAAATCTATTTGTGCTGTTGTCACTTGTGGTCACAGGTCCCTCTTGCGAAGGAGACTTTGGCGAGAGATATTGGGCGGCTGGGTGGTGTGCTTGTGCTTCAAGGCACCAATAAACGTCCTGGGTTCGATTCCCGACTCGGGCGCCTTACCTGTGTGGAATTTGTACGTTCTGTCCCCCGTTCTGTATGGGTTTCCTCGCAGAGCCAAAAAGACAAAACATCCGATGTATTATTTAGCAAAACATTCGGATGTAAAAAATGACCTGCAAATTACGTAATTGCGATCACACGTAGCAATATTGCCCCCTTACCACAGAGCACTTGGCAGAACCGTCCTGTAAGAGAGTTTCAGATTCGTTGAGGGCTTTCGCGTAAACAAGTGCAGTAATAATAATAAAAGTAAACAATCGTCATGACGGGAGCGCTCGAAGTGTGCGAGCCTGTCACGTGCGCCTACCGCGCTGTGCTGCATTGTGGGCAGCAGAGGGCAGTGCGAAAACCTTCCCCATTGTTGTTGTACTTTGCTGCTACCGTCCTGATGGGTCTGCTCTCCATCTTCACTCAACTGCACCGGCCAGAGCGTGGTGAAGTGTGTTGGAATAACCATCCACATGGCCGCATGGAATGGGGAGGCCCTTATTCAGCAGTGGAAAGGACAGAGGGTTTAAAAAAAAAATATGATCATCGTTAGAAATTACATGAATGTTTATTTGAGTCCTATGTATTTTTATTTTGCGTATGTGCAGATTAATGGACACAGGACTTCTCACCGATTATAGTCTGGGCCGCCGGTAGGCTGGAGCAGGCACTGGTCGACAGAGTAGGCACGTGACTTGTAGCGCCTACGGCCCATAATAGGCGCTTGCGAACGACACTTGCCCCAACAGTCTGTTGAAAGCTACATGGGGGGGGATCTTTGGCTTGTGCCCACCCGCAGGTACGGTGATGGTGCGCGCCGGCGAGCAGGGCCAGCTCTTCCTCATCCAGCAGTCGGTGCTGGCGCAGGCCGGTGGCGCCGCCCCCCACGCCGCCCCCGTGCCCCCCTCCCCCACCGTGGCCACGGTGGCGCACGCCCCCAGCCCACCGGCCGCCAGCCCCGCCACTCAACCGCAGCAGGGAGTGCGGCTGGCCGCGCTGCAGGTACCCGCGCTACCTTCGTCTCTCCGTGCGCCACCGCACTCGGCAACCATTAACCACCACCCAGACTTAAACAAAACAAGGTGATGCCCACAGAGCTGTATAGCTTATTTTTAAGAAGCGACCTGGCCACAAATGAAAGCTCAATGAAGTGGGCTTATCACGTGGACATTTATAGCAGCGGCAAGATACTCTAAACGCGTGTTTATAAGCCAGAGGACTCAGAGAAAAATACACACGCGACCACGGGGAGAGAGACACACAAACTCCAAATATACAACAGGTGTCAGGATCTGGATCGAATCCAAGACCTCCTGCATACCAGGCGAGGTAGTTAATATCTCGCCACCGTGGCGCCCACTCACCACCACTTCCGCCACCACCGTCGCCACTGAAAACCCAACCCGGGCTCTGTTAGCCCATGAACAGCGCAACTCTAGCCCAGTGTCATCAGCGCAAGGGCTCCATTCACCACGAGTGAGTGTGAACATATTCCGGGTGGGTGTCATGTGACACGGTACGGTCCAGGTGTCCAGCGGTAGCTGTGGTAAGGAAATAGCGGAATTTGGGAGGCCCGCCGATGTACGATGCGAGATGCTCGGCGTCGTTCGGCAGGAGAACGAGAGGCTTGGGGTCGGTCGACGTCGGGCACCGGGGTTTCGCGTCACTCTTTTTAACGTTTGCCCCGCTGCGCGTGCCCCGTGTCAAGATTGCATCGGTGACGCCGCCGGTGGGGGGGCACCCACGCTCGCCGCTGCCACGCCGGCCCCTCCCGCAGGGCCCGCTCTTCCCGCCAGCCAGCCTCCGCTCGTCTTCACGCCGGTACGCCCACACGGTGCCCTGCCACGCCTCCTCCTGCGGCCGTCTGGAACGCCCTTCCTTCCGATGTTAGGAAGTCACTAGGGCGGTGAACTTCTAAATCGTCTAGATTGATAACTCACTTCTTTAGAACTGATTTTGTGTTTAGTTTGATGTCCTTCTTCCACACGTATTATTAACATGGTTGGCTACGCACGGTACAAAATAAGTTGAACATAGATTTTATTTTGATTCCTACTTAAACGCATGCGTAGAAAACGTAAAATTATTCAACGATTTTATCCATATTTGTGCTATCGGAGTCATGTCACCAAACGGAAGTATCCATGTGAATCTTTTGCAGAGCAGTGTGCTACCCTCCGCATTCAGAGCACTCCACTCTGAAGTGGATATCACCTGAGATCCCTTCAAGTGCGCGTGTTTCGAGCAGCCGTCAGTGATTTGGCTGAGATCATAAACTCGTTATACTTGAGAAGCCGAATTAATTACCGACAGCTGAAACCCAGGTCTGAGCCAAAGTTCTCAGCAGTGCCGGTGTAAACAACTTTTGGTTGCCCCAAAATATTTTTTTCCCCTATGGTGTACGAACATGCGATTCCACTGGCAAACATGTTTCCATTTACTTATTTGTACCCACAGGGTTGGACCAGTGGGTTACGGGTAAGGCGTTAACAGTCAGGTTAAGGGTTAGCCGCTTACATTGGTGAGGGAAAAGTGAAAACCGTTCATGCGTTGTGAAAAAGTAAAACTACCAAAAAAGCAAAATAAGCAGCTGTTTCCAAAACAAGTTTGGAAAGCTATCTTCAAAAACATTCGCATGCAAATTGCACAACGCGCGAAGAAAGGTTACATTGCTGTAATAAAATAAGGGAGTACAAATATTCGTAAGCGGAACCAATATTCTTGAACATTAGTTACTGTGGGGGGGGGAATTAATATTCTGGGGGAGGGAACGTGGACAGTATGTGCCCTTGAAACAACGGGAGCGCTCATAAGGTGGCCCACACATATCCATGCTTTGAATAAAGAAAAATAGATTGTAAGAAAATGTTTAACTAACTCCCGGGATGTTAACTACCTTGCCTGGTGTCCAGGATGCCATGGCTTCGATCCCGACCCTTGACACCTGCCGTATATTTTGTGTGTCCCTCTCCCCGTGGTCACGTGAATTTTTCTCCGGCTCCTCCGGTTTTTCCCTCCACGTTTGGAAATATTTGGCTGCTATATATTTCCACGTGATAAGCCACTTTGTTGAGCTATCATTTGTGGCCAGGTCGTTTCTGAAAAAGAACTAGTTTTAATAGTTTAAAATTATTTCCCTGTACGCCATCTCTTCCTTTTGTCCGCTTGCGTGGCTCCCTCCCTCCCTCCCTATTCACAGGAGGTGATGGAGAACGTCAAGAAGTGCAAGAACTTCCTCTCGACGCTCATCAAGCTGGCGTCGTCCGGCCAGCAGTCGCCCGAGACGACGCGCAACGTCAAGGAGCTGGTGCAAAACCTCCTGGTGGGTGCAGTTGAATGCAAAGACCGCCCCCCCCCCTCCCCCGTGTATGGCCTCCACAGGTTGTTGGGGGCGAGAGTAGGCCTCGGCAAGGTAAGGTAAAAGTGTAAAAAATTAACCCGTAAAAACAAAGTTTTTCACTATAAATCCTTTATATGCGTGGCATCGGTTTTTATTTTATTATTGATTTCTGTTTTTCTTGAGTAAGAGTTTCATTTTTATCACATTGGTATTTTAAATTAAATATGAAATTTTTTTTTCCTAAAAAGTGGAAAAATTTTGAAAAAATTTTTCACGAAAATAAATTGTCACGCACAACGAGTCTGTGTGCAAAATGTCAGCTCGATTGGATCACGGGAAGTGGGTTAAAAAACGACCAAAAGATTTGCACGGTCGTAAGCGCGCAAGCAAGCAAGTGAACTTAATATAATGGATTTAAAAACAACGAGCCTACCTTTACCCTACCTTTTAACTTGCCACAATACAATCACTCTACCCTACCTTTTACCCTTTAGCAGGTAAGGTAAAAGATAAAATGCAACGAGCCTACCTTTTACCCTACCCTTTAGCTTTACCCCTTGGCATGTCGACACCTTTACCCTTTTACCCGGTAAAAAGGGTACAATTACCTTACCTTGCCGAGGCCTAGGTGAGAGTGCTGTTTTAACTCGAGACCGAATAGTCAGGGACAAGAATTTTCAATTGCAATGAAAAAAAAACACGCAAAAAAGAAAATCCCCTTTTGCCGAATGCGAGTTTGCGTTCGTTTTTTTGGTTGTTGATTGAGAGGGTGTGACCTGAGAGACGTAATGACGTGGCAAAGCCAATGGCCTCGCGCGCCGTCCTGCGAGTAGTTGCAAAGCGATCGGTGCCGAGTGATTGGCGGAGAGTGCTCGCGACAGCGCGTGCTTGGACGGCAAGGTGAAGAGAGCGAGAGAGAGAGAGCAAGACGGATAGACTGGGGATTTCAGGCCATTCACCTGGTGTCCGTTCGCGCGAACGGACAGCTGTCGAGGCCGGTCGGTAACGAAATTGATGGCGACCTTGTTGATAGTAGTGATGATGCTGGTGATGGTGATGAATTTAATGGTTGCGTGATGGTGATGATTATAAGGCGATGATGATGATCATGATGTTGGTAAAGGTATTGATAATACTATTAATGGTGATGGCTATAATTATGGTCGGGGAAAATGGTAATAATGATGATAGTCGTGACATCGATGGTGGTGGCAATATTGGTGATGATAATGGTGATAATGGTTATAATGGTTATGATTGTCGCAATGATGCATGTGTGTTGAACTTCTTTCGCACCATGATGATGATAATGGTGGTGATGATGATGACAATTGTGATGACAATTGGCGATGACGACGACAACAACAATTTGCGATTGTTGTCCAGGATGCCAAGATGGAACCGGAGGAGTTCACATCGCGGCTGCAGAAGGAGCTCAAGTCGTCGCCACAGCCCTACCTCGTGCCCTTCCTCAAGGTTTGTCCTCGCAGCCGACCCACGCAAAGCCGCGCGCAGAGACCCCGCGACACCACCGCGGCGCTGCGACGAGCACCCACGTGGTGTCGTGGCGGCCGTGGCACTTGAGACCGATGAGTTGGATGGGGTGGATCCGGTGGTTCTCACCGTGGTCGATGCCGGTTGGAGACCAGAGGTCGCAAACGGGTTTTGATTCCTTACCCGTACCCGGCCGCACCAGGGTCGCAAATGGGTAGCCGGGTGTCGGGTAGGGTACGGGTATCGGGTACCCGGTTGCGACCTCTGTTGGAGACACTGGAGCCGGCGACCGCTCAGAATCCTGCGCGTTAATTCTGGTTTCAGCCGCAGCGCTCGAATCATCGGCATCAGAGTATTTGTTTTTTATTTAAAGCTTTCGTGACTGCAGGGATTCGTATTCTTGGTTCTTTCGGTAAAGTCACGTAGAAGGGAAATAATAAAATAATAAAATAATTAAAACACGTGAAACATATTTTTTATATTAATATTATTTTATTATTTCCCTTCTACGTGACTTTACCGAAAGAACCTAGAATATCAGAGTATTTGTTTGTCCCGGAGGAATCCGAAGAGCTGTGAAGCTCTTTTTTGGCAGATGTCCAGCGGGGACAGATCATAAAGTTACAAGAACAAACGATACGACAATATCGACACTGGTCAACAAAAAAAAACATGTTTTTCTGGCCTGGACTTTTGCAGCTGTTTTAGACTAATTTCAGGGTGCTGATTCCAAATCTGATCTCAGATTTGCTCTATCACATTATTTTTATGCTATCGGCATACCCCATTTTCATTGATTTTACCCGAAATTAACCCTGTCACTTATGATTGCAAGTTGTTGCGAGTCAGTGACTGCTTTAGTGTTAAAACATGGTGCTGTATTTTTAGGATAGTGTGTTTATAATATCATTTTATGTAGATATCCACATTTATTTAACACTTTTCTTCTGCAGTTTTTATTGAAAATGCAATATTTAATATCTCAAAAACCTGATGTGATAGACTAAAACTGATGCCAGATTTGGAATCAGCACCCCAAAATTACATTAAAACCGTTGGAATACCTTATGTCAGAAAAAGTGTTGCAAAGTATAGGGAAACAAAAAGATGCCATTTTCAAGCGTAGTTATTGGTCTTGGTCCAGTCGCCCACGATTAACTTTTCAGATTGATTTTTAATTAGATTAAAGTGTCTTTTACTCAAATGAAAGACCAATTGGACGTGTACAAATCTATACGTCCTTATGAAAAAAGTGTTCTTGGACGTTCTTTACATTACGTCAAATAAGTGCGTTGAGGATGCAGTTGGAGAGTTTTTGTTTGAAATGAGCTTAGATGTGATGGATTTCATCCAATTACAGACGGTTAATTTCAGGGCTGTACAAACACAGATCACGGTGTATGACAGGTACACAAACAATTCCATGATGGCAAATGATAATGTACTCGCCTAACAGAATAAAATGGGGACATTTTTATTCGAGTTATTTTTGCTGCTTCTTAATGGAAGGCCTTGAACATACAACGTTTAAAGAAAAAAAAAATTAATTTAGTATGTTATCTCTGCGAATGGCTTATATTTCAGACAGGAATTACAACAGAGAGAGAACAAATGGATAACATAAAAAGGGCAGAGCAGGTAAAACAGACCAGGAGCCAAAGGCACCTCAGATTGACGCGGCTGGCTACGTACGGTGCGAAAGAAGTCCCACATACATCCACGCGTACAGGCACAGACGAGAGTGCAATAGAGACAAGACGTAGTTGAACAAGATGTTCCGTACAAGATAGCAAATACAGACAAAGACGGAGTAAATAAGACAACGAACATGATTGCGTATGCAAACAAGCTGGGAATAATAGACGAGAGACGAGATTTAGACCGGATGTTTGCGTACGAGATAGGAAGTACAAATGAGATAAGTAGAATTGTCGTCCCGAATCGTGACGGTTCACTCGGTTGCACTTGAGAAGCGTCGGTCGTTAAAATCCCAACCGCGGAGCGTCGTACGCCGCAGTGGCGCGGCAGACCGAACCCCCAGGAGCAGGAAGTACGCGCGAGTCGTTCGGAACAAACGTGTCTGTACAAGCGAGGTTAGAAGAAACATCTTCTATTCTCGACTTGTGATTGTGACGACAAATGGGTGACGAGGCACCGCATTGCCGTTGGAGTTGCAGCGTCGCTCCGTTGCTCTCCGGCGGCGGCGGTTCTCTCGCTCTCACCGATTCACCGAGGCGCGCCGGAGCGAATCCCGGCGCCGGGAACGATGGCTCATGCCGTGCCGGCGCGCTCTCTCGCAGAAAAGCCTGCCGGCCGTGCGCTACCTGGCGCAGAACCCGCAAGCGCCGACCCAGTCGGCCCCGCAGCTCAACGCGATCGGACCCCCGGCGACCTCGACCGGCGCCGCGCGACCCCTGGGAGCGCAGACGCACGCGGCGCAGGCACCGCTACACACGGTACGGAGGTGGTGAAGTGGTGGTGGTGGTATTGATGTGTTGGCAGTAGTGGTGGTATGGCTGTATGTATGTGTATGTTTGACTTCTTTCGCACCCTACGTCGCCAAACCGTGCTAATCGGAGGTGCGGAGGAACGACAGCTCAGTATGAACATCCGTGCTGAAATTAGTTTTCAATTTAAATTTAAAAGTGCATAGCTCCAGTGGCTTTCTAATATCGAGGGGAAGAGGGTTCCAGACAGCCACAGAAGCGCATCTGAAAGTGCACGATGCAGTCCACCGTCTTTGTTCGATGGTTAGACTGGTGATGATCCTGTTGATGGTCGTGGTGGTAGCGATGGTAGTCGTGTCGTAGTGACGGAGAGGATTGTGATCTTCGTGATGGTGGTGGTAAATATTCTCAAATTGACAGTAAAATTAAGTCACTGATTTACACCATTGGAACCTCATTTGCCAGTAAAAAATATTTGCAAACATGTTTGCAAACATGACTCCTTGTAAAAAAGGTGTCAGTTTTGTTGCCAGATAGAAGGGTAAAAAAACAATTCTCATATGTTTTACTGGCAAATGAGGTTCCAATGGTGTAAATGCTTACCCCCAGCTCTCATACTCTGATGGTGCATTGTCTTTGAGTTATGCGCCTTTTGGCGTCATCTGGTCCAACCCATGTGAGACTAGGCTCTAAGGAAAGCTGTCTCGGTGTGGACCAATCAATTTCAAGGACAGTGGATATATATTATCAGAGTTAAGTTTTTTGTTTGCATTATGGCTGCAGGTATTGTGGTCTATGCAAACATGACTCCTTGTAAAAAAGGTGTTAGTTTTGTTGCCAGATAGAAGGGTAAAAAACCAATTATCATAAGTCACTGATGTTTAGTTTATTTTGTTTAACCAGGTGGGAACTCAAGCAACGAGCGTTAGGGAAATTATTGCTATAATATGAATATCATTCGAATTCTTCAAATATGGCAAATCTGGACCCCGACGCCGACTCGATAGGTCACTCTTGCGAATGACATCGGGGGCATCCGTAACATCCACTGGGGAAACATTATGTGACTGGATACTACACCCGCAAGAATAAGCAGGGCGGCCGCTGGATTTGAACGGTGAACCTCTGCAACAAGCGGCGAACTTGCTCCAGCTAGGCCTTGTCACGAGCCATGATGATGGTGGTGGTGGTGGCGGCACCGGCAATTATGGGGAGAGCTCACGGCCGCTGTATCCGTGTTGATATGCTTGCGTTGATACGTTTGTGTTTTGCTATTCGTGGTGCTGTTGGCACTCGTGGCAGTGATGGGGATAACGGTGGCGGTGGTGGTGGCGGTGGCTGCAGCGATACTGGTGCTCCCATTGTTTCGTGTAGTCGAACGCGCGTCAAGAATCAATGGCGATATTTTCGCATTGCTCTGCTCTATCTATCCTGTCTCTGGCATTTAAAACGAATTTGCTGGTTTATTAATAGATGCCTATTGACAGAATTCTCCCCAGTGATCTCATTATCTTAACAAGGGTGTAATGCGGTGTGTGTGTGTGAGCATGTGTGTACGTGAGTGTTAGGCATGTGTATGGGTGTTTGTATGTGTGTGTGTACGTGTGGCGGTTAGCGCTTCGCTTCGCTACAAACCCGGCGGCCCGAGTTTGATTCCCGCTCATGGCCAACACCAGTGACGAATATCTGAACCTGTCCTGGGCCTCCCCTAGGTCGATTCAGCCTCAGATGAGTCCCTGGTGCGGTGTGCGAGGCCACCGACGCCCTCGTGTGCCGTGCTGGCCTCCGTAGGTGCTCGCTTAACGGCGCATGCCCCGTGACCGTCTGTTAAGGCTCTACGGGGGATGGGGGGGGATCTTTTGTCTTTGTGTTGTAGGTTCTGACGACGCAGCATGGGGGTGGAGTGAAGCAGATTGTGCTGCAGTCGCAGGCTCGCGGCAGTACACACATCAAGCCCGGTGAGCAATGCGCTCGGCGACCTACGATTCACCCCCCGATCCATCGATCGGTGATCGTAAACTGGATCGGGACTTCCGGCGGGCGGCACGTATATCTGGTGAACGAGTCGTCAGAGCGTCCTCGACAAACGACGTGAATAAGTGTCGCCAGCACTCGCTCGCTTGCCGGCCGGACTACGTTAGCTCATTCCTCATCCGTTTGATGTCCTTACACGGGCTCTCTGAACTCGATCTACCCTTGTTATGCTGCCACTTCTATGGAACAGAAGAAGATTGGTTCGCTCGTCTGGTTTGGCTCGATGCGCGATGCTCCTTCACTCGTTGAATTTCTGCCTTCCGACGAGGCGCCTAACGATCGATTGAAAATCGTTTGCCGACTTTTTGTTCAAATGATTTCTCACCTCCACGGTAACTGAGATTACCTACGGTTTACGCAAATTGCACCCGAATTTTGCATTTCTGGCAATGGAGGTGGCAGAGGGCACTGCAACAACATCCACCGTTGTACCATACTCCTATGGTTCCTCTTCTACGCTCCCCGCCGCCACCAACTTGCGTCGACCTGCAGGGTCATATTATAACAAGCCCACGGTCCACACAGGTGCAGAGAGGCTCTCACCTAGCAGTGGATAAACAAAGTGGCTGCACATGCTGTTCAAGTTCAACTCTGTCCCGTAGAGTAACACGTGTTGCCGTTTCCATATTATATCCCTAAAGTTGACCTTTATGCTCTTCCAAAGTGTTTACTCGGTCCCGTTGACCCTTTTCCGATGACGTGTACGTCATCAGTTTTTCTTCCGACTTCCGTTGCAATTGCGTACGTTTGCGGCAGCGGCACGGATTCAATTCGAAATGGAATCTAAATCGATTCCGAAAGGAATTGGAAGTTAAGGGCCATACGGGGTGGGCAGTGGGGCACAGTTTGGCATCGGCTGTAATGGAGTGCGGTGGTCGTGTCGCTACGGTTCTCTGCGGTGAGTACGGTCCACGGTCTTTAACAAACAGCGGCGCTATGCCTCTCGAAATAAAATGAAAGCCGAGCCGCCCTCTTTGCGCGTTTCTGAGATTCGGCAGTGAATGGAACAAACACCCTGCAACTTGCGGACGTCATCGGAACGGCAAAGGGTTAACAGCCCGCGGTGCTGACGCGGTACCCGTGTTTGACCCCGTTGCAACCCCTCTCCCCCCATCCCCCACCAGGCACGGTGGTCAAGACTCAGGGCCCTGCTCTCATCAGGCCACCCCCCACAGGCGTGCCGGGAGCCACCGGGCTGCAGGCATCGGCGAGCCAGAAGGGGAAGATGAAGGATCCTGGGGGCGGCACTTTCAAGTAGGGGGACCCTTACGCATGCAAGCACATGCACGCACACGCACGCACGCACATGCACGCACGCACATGCACGCGCATGCACGCGCACGCACGCGCACGCACGCACATGCACGCACATGCACGCACACGCACATGCACGCACGCACGCACATGCACGTACGCACATGCACGCGCACATGAATCAGCATGCCTGCTCGGAATCTGAATTTTATTTCAGTTGGTGAGACCCCCATTGAGCCAAGCAGCTCTGTTACACGGACGACCGCAGCTCAAGACCGTCGGCAGTGGCAGCGGTTGCGAGGCGTTGCAGTTACATAGAGTTGCATGGAGATCTGTAGAGTTACATGGAGAACCATGGAGTTTCATGGACATTCATAGTTACATAGGGACAAGACCCTCAGCAGTGGCGGAAGCGACAGGACATTGCAGGGTAGCAATATGCAAAGTATCCAGAGCACAGACACGTCGCAATAATCATTGCACGTAGCAACAATCACCGTGGCAGGACCCACCCGCAAGAGTTGCGAGGCTTTGGTGAGCCCTTCCCCCTGGGTAAGCAAGTCGCGAGTCTCCCCTTCTCTATCCCCGTCCCTCGCTCCCCCTCCCTCACCAGGGACGATGACGACATCAACGACGTCGCCTCCATGGCGGGCGTGAACATCAACGAGGAGAGCGCACGCATCGCGGCCACGGGCTCCGACACGGTGGGGACGCAGATCCGCTCGTGCCGTGACGAGGCCTTCCTGTCGGCAGGGCCCCTCCAGCGCCGCCTGCTCGACATTGGTGAGAATGCGGCACAAGCGAGCGGATGCACAAAGACAAAGATCCCCCCCGTACAGCATTAAGAGACTATCGGGGCAAGTGCTGTTAGCGAGCGGCACCTGTGAAGGCCGCCACGGCGCACACAAAGGGATGGGTGGCCAGCACCACGCCCTAGTGGTGATGTTTGCACGCAGCACCGGGTACTCGTTTTGGGGCTGAGTCGACCCAGGACCGGTTCAGATAATTAATCGTCACCGGTGTTGGCCTTGAGCGGGAATCGAACTCGTGTCGCCAGGTTCGTAGCGCAGCGAGCGAACCGCTACACTACCACTCCCCTACCGCTCCCCACGGACACAGATGCATGGCCATGACTCGCCCAACCGGTAGCACGCCTTTAGCAAGCGAAGCTCCGTTAAGATCGACCGATTGGACTCGCGGGTGCGGTCGTGGTGATGGCGGGCTTGGTGACTGGCACTGGTGGTGGAAGGTGGTGGTGGTAGTAGAATTGGTGGTTATGATTTTCATTATTTGGCTGCTACTGGTGGCGGTGGTAATGATTGGCCCGTTAGCGGTTGTGACACGGCAGCAGGGTGAGGCGTCGTGCGTTAGCGAGCACCCGTTTGGCCAAGTCGCCCGACGTGTGATTGCCGGGGAGTAGTGTGGGGTCGGCACGGAACACCCGGATATTGTCGTCTCCCCGGTGCTGGTGGTGAGGGCAGAGCATCCAGGTACAGTAAAACCTTGGATTGCGAGCATAATTCGTTCCGGAAACGTGTTTGTAATCCAAAGCACTCGTATATCAGTTGTGATCACGTGACGCTGGGCAGACAAAGCGTATACACGTACTACTCGTATTGCAAGACCTCGCTCGTTTATCAAATTAATATTTATTTTAAAATGTTGCTCGTCTTTCAAAACACTCGCAGACCAAATTACTCGCAATCCAAGGTTTTACTGTGTTTCGGTATACTCTGGTGGCAATTCCACATTCTTTTGACAGGATCCAGGCTGTGAGTTAAGTGACGAATGTTGAGTTACCACTAGATGGTGCAGTCTCACCATGTAGAGCTCACTTTCTCTACCCCGGGAAAATGATGATGACGATTGACTTTGGGCGTGTGTTGGTGGCAGTGCTGGTTGTGATGAAAATTGTGGTGGTTGTAGTGATAATGTTTATATTGGTGGTGATGATAATGAAGATATGGGTGGTGGTGGTGGTAATTGACATGAGATCGTTGTGGTAATTGGGCTGCTGTCTGTTAGTGGTGATGGTGGTAATGATGATGAAGTTGATGTTTATGATTCTGGTAGCGATGGTGATTTGGGATGGTAATGGTAGTGATATTGATCATGGTGATGTGGTTCTGCATACAGGGAGTTGTGTCAATTAGATTGTCTCTGATTGAGCTAATTTCTAGAATGTGCGTGCGTGTACGTGTGTGGTATGTGTGTGGTATGTGTGCGGTGTGTACGCGTGCGTGTACGTGTGGTGTGTGGTGTGTGTGCGGTGTTTACGCGTGCGTGTACCTGTGTGGTGTGTATGGTGTGTGTGCGGTGTGTACGCGTGCGTGTACCTGTGGTGTGTGTGCGGTGTGTACGTGTGCGTGTACCTGTGGTGTGTGTGCGGTGTGTACGTGTCAGGCCGGCGGTACGGCGTGACGGAGGTGCCTGCGGACGTGGTGGGGTTGGTGTCGCACGCGGCGCAGGAGAGGCTCAAGAACCTGGTGGAGAGGCTGAGCGTCATCGCACAGCACCGCACGGAGACGTACAGGGTGAGTGCACCGCACCCAGACGATCGATGTGCACTGAACTGCCCTGCTCCCGTATTCGCCCACACACTCGCCGTCAAACTCACTCGTCCTCTCACCCGCATACTCCTCGCCTGTGCAATCCCCCCCTCCCCTACTCGCCCGCACGCACGCCCGCAGGACTCGGACGACTCGGAGCAGATGAGCGACGTGAGGTCTCAGCTGAGGTTCTTCGAGCAGCTCGACCGCCTGGAGAAGCAGCGCAAGGATGAGCAGGAGCGCGAGATTCTACTCAGGGCGGCCAAGGTTGTTGCTCTCTTGATGTTGGCGTGGAGAGATGTGGGGCGTGGGGTCCGGATACGAGAGTAAAACCTCTCTATCTCGCTCTCTCTCACCAAGCCGAATTGTAGTCAGACAGAATTTGGGGTGAGCCTGAAAGTCACCACGAAAGAAACGATAAGGAGATCAACCAAAAGCCTACGACCGGAACACTGCACGACAGAGGGTGTGCGTATGTTTGCGAGAAATTCTAAAGCTGCGTTGTTGCTTATCCTTTGTATGCAATCGGGTGAACCCGTGCCCTTGGATGCCACAGGCTCTGCGAGGGCATTCTCTCCTGCGCGTGCTCTCTCTCTCTGTCTGTGATACTTGACCAGAGTCAATGAGGAACCCTTTTTTATATATATAAAGTTTCGCTGACTGGCACGCGAGCAGACAAGTTGCGCGGTGGTGACGTCACCCACAACCCACAGCGTTGAGCCGGCTTCGTGCGTCACCCTGACATAACTCCCACTCTCTACTCCGGCCACAGATACCGCACAAATGCGCGGCAGCTGTAGATTTTATATATATATATATATTTTCAGGGCGGTGTTATTGACACACCTGTTCCATATATATTATTATACTGGGGGTTGTCCATTTACGGCCTTCGGCTTGGAAAGTCACGATTAAACATTGAACACGAACGACGCATTCACGCAAGCACCCGATGCTCCGTTTTGAAGTAAAAAAATTAAACATCTTTTAATTGTGTTATGTTTTGAATTGGATAATTTTATTTCTTCATTAAAAGCTTACATCATTTTACATCTGGAAGACTTAATTGAAAAGGACATTTCGTGTGAATTTTCTCTCGTCGTTAAGTAGATGGCCTTGCCGGGGGTTCGGTTCGATGCGGACTTTCACCTGTTTGGGATTGCGGGATCGAGATAAGGCGACACAGAGCTAGCCGTGCGAGAAGACCGCCGTCTGCAGTTCGATTCCAACGTAATCGAACGTCTGTCCCTGCGCCTCCGTCGTTCATGCAGGGGGCGCGTAGGTTTGCAGCGCCCCCTGCATGAAAGCGACGGAAAATGCAGCGTTCATCACAGATTGATAAAGTTGTGTGCTTATATAAGAGTTATATACGCGTGTAAAGTGTGTGTGAAACGTCCAACCATTCGGCCGTCAGGCGTTCACTACGCCGATGACCCAAGCTGACGCCGACCACTGCTCTCTGACCCAGGAGCGGTCCTGGCATCGGGCTTACGGGGTCATGGTCGGGGTCAAGGTCGGGGTCGTTTGAACGTCGAGGTCACGCAAGGCGACGTCGACTTCGGTGACAGGGCCCCCCCGGCCAATGTAACTCCGGCTGTCGCTTGCACACGACGCGGGGTCTCTCATGCTGGTGCTCCGTCTCTGTCTGTCTGTGTCCCTCCCTCTGTCTCTCCCTCTCTGTCTGCAGAGTCGGTCTCGACAAGAAGACCCAGAACAAGCCCGGCTCAAGCAGAAAGCAAAAGAGGTATAAAGATCCCTCGTATAGCCTTAACAATTTTTAGGGGGCAAGTGCTGTTAGTGAGCACCTTTTTGAAGGCTGGCACTGTGTGCAAGGGGGGGGGGAGGGGTGGGGTGGCCACCACCACCACGCCCAGAGTGACCGGACACGATTCGCACGCACGGGGGGGAAACACCCCCATCCCATACAGAAGGGGACGGGTGATCCTCGTCTGCAATTTTCCGCGCCGCGTTCTCCTGGCGAGCCATAGTACGGCACCTTGATGATGCCCACGGGATGATCCACCAACCTTCGCCGCCAGCGGCTGGCTTACAATCTACCGCCGCCCGGCCGAGGTCGCAACGATCGCAGCGCGACGGTGGCGGCTTTCAACGAGTGAACGACACCACCAGACTCGCACAAATGACCCCCCCCTCGCCTCCTGACCCGTCCGCCTTTCTCTCCCTCCCCTTCCTCACCCATAGATGCAGCAAGCGGAGCTGGCTCAGATGCGCCAGCGAGAAGCGAACCTGACGGCGCTCGCGGCAATCGGGCCACGCAAGAAGCGGAAACTCGATTCGCCAGGGCCGGGCACGCCGGGGGAGGTGGGGGGAGCGTGCAACTCGCACCGTCACGCGTGTACAAAGACAAAAGATCCCCCCCCCCCCCCCAGGGAGCCTTAACAGGCTGTTGGGGCAAGTGCTGTGGTCAGCACCCTGCCCGGCACCCTTTGTCACCCGGCCAGTGCTGATGTTTACTCATCGCACCAGGTACTCGTTTGAGTCGACCTATGGCAGGCGCAGGACAGGTTCAGAAATTCGTCACTGACTTTGACCGTGAGCGGGAATGGAACCGGATTTCTATAGCCCCGCGAGCTAAATGATACGCCAAACCTCCCCACTGTAGTACACACAACAACAACAACAACCACTAAGGTTTACACCATTGGAACCTCATTTGCCAGTTAAAAATATGATAATTGTTTTTTTACCCTTCTATCTGGCAACAAAACTGACACCTATTTTTACAAGGAGTCATGTTTACATAGACCACAATACCTGCAGTCATAATGCAAACAAAAAACATAACTCTGATAATGTGCACTGTTCTTGAAGTTGATTGGTCCACACCTGAGACAGCTTTCCTTAGAGCCTAGTCTCCATTGGTGTTGGACCAGATGAAGCCAAAAGGCGTACAACTCAAAGACAGCGCACTATCAGAGTATGAGAGCTCGGGGTAAGCATTTACACCATTGGAACCTCATTTGCCAGTAAAAAATATGATAATTGGAATCAACTTCAAGGACAGTGCACATTATCAGAGTTATGTTTTTTGTTTGCATTATGACTGCAGGTATTGTGGTCTATGTAAACATGACTCCTTGTAAAAATAGGTGTCAGTTTTGTTGCCAGATAGAAGGGTAAAAAAACAATTATCAACCACTAAGGTGTCGGTGACTTCACAGCGCTTGTGCCAGGCTGTGTGTGAACTTTAGTGCCACTGAAGTGTCGGAACGCCCGCTGGCGGGAGGTCACGGGACAGACCCAGGTGCCGTGGGTTGACGCACTGAGATGACTGGCCGATGCACCACCTGTGCTCCCTACTAAACGCAGACGCGTACACACGCGCGCAAATAATTGTACACATGCAACAACAACAACCGCCATTCACCACTACGTGGCGGTGACGTTACCACGGCGCTTGTGCCAGGCTATGTGCCACTTTAAGGCCACGTGAAGTGTAGAACGCCTGCCGGCAGGAGATCACAGGACAGACCCAGGTGCCGTGGGTTGACACACTGAGGTGGCTGGCAAGATGCACCGCCTGTGCCCCCTACAACACACTGCACTTGAGAAACCCGGTTTATTCACGGTTGGGCAGCTGAAATCCGGATTCGAACTCTGGATCTCAGCGGTCGGTGCCAGCTCACAGTCTCCAATCGGAGTCAAATCTCCACGCCGTCCGTACCGCCATCTCTGCTCGCGGGGGTCTCGGTGACCCGGCATTCATCTTCGCCATTCGACCTCATCGCGATCGCTGCCAACCTTCAGTAGCGCAGCTCACTGCCTAGTTCCACGTTCGTGCGTTGGCCTCGCAGCGTTCGTACAAGGCGAACCTGCAGGAGGCAGTGCAGAATCGGTTGGGTGGATTTGTCGTAAGGTCAGGGTTCAGTTTGACCCTACAAAACCATCGCAGTGGGTGTTTCCCCCCCCCTCCACCCCCCGGAAACTCTCATTTCCTTGCCCACGCATACAAAAAGTAAATATTAAAGCTATACAACTACATTTTGTTGAAGCATTTGTTGGCAAATGCGCTGCGAACCCGGCGATCCCCGAGTTGGATTTTCCGGCCACGGCTCGGGTCATCGGCGAGTGGAATCTAAACGGGTCCTGGGCTCCTCCTGACTTTGGCAGCGCGCACTGAGACTGGCGTGGTGAGGTACGGTCAAACGACTCCCACAGAGCCACACGGCCGTGGCGAAGCCTTCATCCAGCAGTGGATCGGCTCGGGGGAGGGGGGGGGTCTCCTCGTGGGCGAGGCATTACGTCTCGTACCGACGCGCCGTCGCTTCGGAGCGATCCGCACGGTCGCGGCGTACGCGCGCTACATGCGGCGGTGGTGGTGGTGGTGGTGGTGGCGGCGGCGGTGGTGGTGGTGGCGGTGGCGGCGGCGGCGGTGGCGGTGGTGGTGGCGGTGGTGGTGGTGGTGGGGACACGAGAGTGATGTTTTACCTCCGTCTCTCCAGGCCGGGGGTGGGGGGCCCGGCGCTTCGTCTTCCGGCGGCACCGGCGCGGCGGGAGGCAGCGGCGGGGGGGCGGCGGAGGCCGTCGCGGGGCCCGGCGGCGGCGGTGGCGGCGGCGGCGGCGGCGGCGGCGGGGTGCCGGGCACGCCGACGAGACCGTCGCAGCGAGCGCGCTTCACCAGGGTCAACCTGCGCGACCTCGTCTTCTTGCTGGAACAAGATCGCGAGACGGCGCACTCGCGCGTGCTGTACCGCGCGCAGCTCAAGTGACGCTCGCTTTACGTCTCGGGCCGCCGACGAGGGCGAGGGGTGGGGGGGCACAGAGAGACAGAGAGATCGGAGGCGCCGAGATCGCCCCCCCCCCCCTCCCCGACGCCCCGGGTGCTGGAATCTAACCGGGTCTACCTCCCGGTTTGGCGGGGACCGGACCGGGCCGCGGTCGGTGTTTTGGGCCCTTCCCCTCCGCTTGGAGCGGAAGTTTGACTTGCACGGCAGCGGACGGCTTGCGAGGATGACGGTGGCCGACGTGCAACGTCGCCTCGGCTCAAGGAGAGAGAGAGAGAGAGCGGACGGACGGACGCCAGTTCCTCGCACTGGTCAACCCGGGACCGCACCGACACATGGAACGTGACTCGTCGACCGACCGAATTGACTGACCGACAGACCGACCGCTCTTGCGAGAGAGCGAATGACCGACTTGCCGACCAAACGAATGACCGACGGAGCGACTCGCCTCCCCCCCCCCCCCCGCCAACCGTTTGACCCACATGACCCATCGAACGAACGACCAGCCGACCGAACTAACAAACGACCGACAAATGCCCGAACGACGACAACGACCAGACCCCCCCCACTAACCGATCGACCGCGAGACGCCAAATTGAGGCAGCTCGCAAAAAACGCGGTTCTTACCGAAGGGCTCCCTTCCGTACACACGTAGCCGCCCCCCTCACCCCACAGAACCAATGAATGGTGGCGAGGGTGGAGAAAGGGGGGCCTTGCCTCTAACCGCAACCCCCGAGTCACCGCCATCCGCGCCCCACCCCCCCTCCCCACCGCCTACCAGCACCCCTCCGACGCTATAATCACGCGCGGTCAACACGTCGCGAGGTTTTTTTTTTAATCGCCAGAGGTCTTGTTTGTTTGTGCGTGCGTGCACGCGTGTCCATCTGGTGCGGCGTTTGTGTGTGTTTTTTTATTTTTTACACGCACCGGTTCGTATCGCTCGCGGCGTCGAGACTCGTGTACACGACCTGCAGAGGGACAGGAAATGAAAAACAATTGCACTTGACCTGTGTGTGTGTGTGTGTGCCGTCAGGAAAAAAAAGAGGGCTCGTTCTTGTGTAGTAAGAGGGCCCCCCCCTTACGCCCCCTTCACTGCCCGCGCGCGCGCGTGCGTTGTACATTGTGTGTATGTGTGTGTGTGTAAATACGAGGCGAGGACTTTAATACATGTGGTGTTTATAAATGAGAATTTGAGAAGTGGTATTTTAATAGAACTTTGAACCAGCGGCACGCGAACTGAGAAGTCGGGAGTACGAGATATATATACGAGTCTTGTATGCATTTTATAAGAAAAAAATATCCTAATAACTAAGATTCTTTATTTTCAATAATTTTTTGCTCTAAAGTAAATATTGTCTACATTTATTTTCACGGTGTGCGTAGTTTTTTTTTTCTTCTTCTTCCGTGTCGTACATTACAAAGAGAGACGCAAAAGGGGTCGGGGGCCCCGTGTTGCCTCGTAAACAGTGGCACACGGAGGAGGATGGGTGGGACAAAACACCACGCGCGCGCACTTTGTCGGGGAGCGGTGGTGGCGCAGGAGATGTTGGCAGCACTCCGCTGTGTGAACTCCGTGACCTCGGGTTTGATGTCTGGCCACAGATATCTCACCACCGATACCGGGCCAAACCACATGCGTGGTGATTGTCAAACTACGCGCCACCCCCCCCACCATGATCCACACGGTGGTGTGGGGAGGCTTTCATCCAGGAGTGGATTGAGAAAGGGCTATAAATTATTATGAAACTGTGCGCACAGCATCATTTTAACATTTTTTAAAAATACAAAATTGATAGCTTTGTGATACAAAATAAACCTTTTTCTACCAATTAAATTTTATTTAAATGCTATATTTGTAATCTTTAAATTTTTTTATACTTTCCTGTCCATTTAAATGTTTATTGTATTCAAGGCAGGTACGTCATGCAATTTTATTAACACCAAATTTTTAATGTATTTTTTTTTATTGCTTCCAAGTTTGTTTTAAAACGACACGGCTCACTTGTCAGCAGAAAACTCTAAAATGATGGCTATGTTGTGAACAAAACGCATTCTTGTTCTATTTTGTAAAATGGATCGGATAATTTGCGAATATAAATTTTACACATTTCGTCCATTCAGTATATATTTCAAGCAGCTGTATATTTAAAAAAACATCTATTTGGTGGGGAATAAATAGAACGTAGGTGTTGGCAAAGGAAATACAAAGATATTTCTTAAATAGGTCCTGACAACGTAATGATTGTGGGCAATCTTCCACATGTTCGTGCTGCAGATGATGGTCATTCTAATGAAGAACTTCGCTCATTTCTGCTGCGAATGATAATCAATTATCGATGATGATGATACATGGCTACCCACGATCATTCTTCTGCAACTGACGATGTTCCGCTCCTACTGATGGTGATATTACCTATGACGAACGGTGGAACATACGCCACCACACCCTCCCATTGTGTTGATTAAAAAGGGACCTCGTGAAAGCGTTGGCAACCAAAGGACATTTCCACGGCAGAGCAGATTTGAGAACGCGTCGCTCTCTTCGGCTGGCTAAGCAGGCCAAACCTCACGGCCAGACACACCTACTACGACTGGCACATACAAGGTCCCCCGTATAGCCTCCACAAGGCTTTTTTTTGGGGGGGTGGGAGTCACATTATTTTTTTTATCCAGCACAGAAACGAAGGTTGCGTGGGGGGTGGGGGCAAGAACGACACCCGGCCCGTTTGTGTGTCGCATTTTAATGCCGAGTCAACCTAAACGGGAGTGCCAAGGACTGGCTATGCATTCGCAGTGCGCCAACCACGGAACCACCGCTCCCTCGCACACAAACACATTCCTAGACAACCTATGCGCTACATACAAAGACAAAGATCCCCCGTGTTGACTTAACAGACTGTTGGGCAAGTGCGTTAGCGAGCACCTATGAAGGCTGGAACGGCACACGAGGGGGTGGGTGGCCAACACCACCGCCTTTGTCTCCCTAGTGGCGATGTTACACACCGCCCAGGTACTCATTTGAGGCTGAGTCGACCTAGGGGAGGCCCACGATCGGTTGAGATATGGGTCACTGGTGGTGTTCCGTGACCGACCTGGAACCCAGGAGAGTCGTGGTGCAGTGGCTTGGGCACGCATTTATCGCTTTCAACTAATTGGCTGTGTCGGGTGGTGGAGGGTTACGACACAAACATTTATACTTACGCGATCTAACCCCAAAACCCCCCTTTATTATGAATAATATCGTGTCCGCGAATGCCTACAACGCGTTAAACTAACCCCGATTAAGGTCACTTGTGTTGTCAATTGAAATTCTACATACACAACAATGACAACAACAACCGCCATTCGCCACTAAGTGGCGGTGACGTCACCACGGCGCTTGTGCCAGGCTAGGTGCACGTTGAGGCCACGTGAAGTGTCGAACGCCCGCTGGCAGGAGGTCACGGGGCCAGACCCCAGCAGGTGCCACGGGTCACACACAGCCCCTACATACACACACGCGCCTACAATAATACACACAGCCCCTACATACAACACACACGCGCCTACATACATACACACAGCCCCTACATACACACACGCGCCTACATACATACACACAGCCCCTACATACACAACACGCGCCTACATACATACACACAGCCCCTACATACACACACAACGCCTACATACATACACACAGCCCCTACATACACACACACGCGCCAACATACCATACACACCAGCCCCTACATACACACACGCGCCTACATACATACACACAGCCCCTACATACACACACACGCGCCTACATAAATACACACAGCCCCTACATACACACACGCGCCTACATACATACACAGCCCCTACATACACACAGCCCCTACATACACACACGCGCCTACATACACAACACGCGCCTACATACATACACACAGCCCCTACATACACACACGCGCCTACATACATACACACAGCCCCTACATACACACAGCACGCGCCTACATACATACACACAGCCCCTACATACACACACGCGCCTACATACATACACACAGCCCCTACATACACACACACGCGCCTACATACATACACACAGCCCCTACATACACACACACGCGCCTACATACACACACACGCGCCTACATACATACACACAGCCCCTACATACACACACACGCGCCTACATAATACACACAGCCCCTACATACACACACACGCGCCTACATACACCACACACGCGCCTACATACACACAACACGCGCCTACATAATACACACAAGCCCCTACATACACACACACGCGCCTACGTACACACACACGCGCCTACATACATACACACAGCCCCTACATACACACACACGCGCCTACATACACACACACGCGCCTACATAATACACACAGCCCCTACATACACACACACGCGCCTACATACACACACACGCGCCTACATACATACACACAGCCCCTACATACACACACACGTGCCCTACATAATACACACAGCTCCTACATACACACACACGCGCCTACATACACACACACGCGCCTACATACATACACACAGCCCCTACATACACACACACGCGCCTACATACACACACACGCGCCTACATAATACACACAGCCCCTACATACACACACACGCGCCTACATACACACACACGCGCCTACATAATACACACAGCCCCTACATACACACACACGCGCCTACATACACACACACGCGCCTACATACATACACACAGCCCCTACATACACACACACGCGCCTACATACACACACACGCGCCTACATACACACACGCGCCTACATACATACTACACAGCCCCTACATACACACACACGCGCCTACATACATACACACAGCCCCTACATACACACACGCGCCTACATACATACACACAGCCCCTACATACACACACACGCGCCTACATACATACACACAGCCCCTACATACACACACGCGCCTACATACATACACACAGCCCCTACATACACACACACGCGCCTACATACATAACACAGCCCCTACATACACACACGCGCCTACATACACACACACGCGCCTACATACATACACACAGCCCCTACATACACACACACGCGCCTACATAATACACACAGCCCTACATACACACACACGCGCCTACATACACACACACGCGCCTACATACATACACACAGCCCCTACATACACACACACGCGCCTACATACTACACCAGCCCCTACATACACACACACGCGCCTACATACCACACACGCGCCTACATACATACACACAGCCCCTACATACACACACACAAAGACAAAAAAGACAAAGATCCCCCGGATAGCCTGAACAGACTGTAGGGGCAAGTGCTGTTAGCGAGCACCTATGAAGGCCGGAACGGTACACGAGGGGGTGGGTGGCCAGCACCACGCCCGACCGCCTTTGTCTCCCTAGTGGCGATGTTTACACACCGCACCAGGTACTCATTTAAGGCTGAGTCGACCTAGGGGAGGCCCAGGACCGGTTCAGATAATCGTCACTGGTGTTAGCCGTGAGCGGGAATCGAACCCGGGTCGCCAGGTTCAATAGCGCAGCGCGCTAACCGCTACACTACCGCTTCCCATACACACACACGCGCCTACCTACACACACACGCGCCTACATAATACACACGCCCCTACATACACACACAACGCGCCCTACATACACACACACGCGCCTACATACATACACACAGCCCCTACATACACACACGCGCCTACATACACACACACGCGCCTACCTACATACACACAGCCCCTACATACACACACACGCGCCTACATAATACACACAGCCCCTACATACACACACACGCGCCTACATACACACACACGCGCCTACATACATACACACAGCCCCTACATACACACACACGCGCCTACATAGATACATACACACCGACGTATCCACTCCTAAGCACGCACAATCTGTCGCCGCACAAGACCAAAGATTCTGTTCGCGAGGACCTTATACACAAAGATCCCCCGTATAGCCTGGACAGACTGTTGGGGCAAGTGCTGTTAGCGAGCACCTATTATACACTGTTCGTGACACACGTGCGCGCACCCTAAACACTCCCTTAAATTCACAAACGGCCTCCTGTAGCTACACAAATACACAGAGAGAGAGGCAATCCCACACCCCACGTACAGAATCAGAATCTTTATTTAGACGTGCACACACAGGCAACTCACTCCCACGCACTCTCCATCATACACCCCCCCCCCGCCACCCGCTCAGTGACTCGCACAAAGACAAAGATCCCCCGTATAGCCTTAACATACTGTTTGGGCAAGTGCACCTATGGAGGCCGGCACGGCACACGACCGGGGGTGGGTGCCGACATCACGCCCGGCCGCCTTTGTCTCC